GCTGAGTGGCCTTACACTGAATCTGCATCTCTGCGGCTTCTGGCAGAAAACCTCCCTCCTTTCCCCTGACCCAACTCACCCCTAATGGCATAGGCCAAGAAGGAGTTAGACACAGCAATCAGGTTGCCATAGTAGTATTTCTGCTCCCAGTCATACTTGGCGACAGGCTGGATTTTCACCTGAGAACCAAGGGTGAGAAAAGTCATAGAAGCTGAGGGATGGGGCAGCTTTCCCAAAGCTTAGGTGGTCCCCAGCATCCCTGGGGACAGTAGAGGCCACATGTGCAAGCTCAGTCACCCAATTACAACTCCTGGGGCCAGATTCCCACAGAGGCTTGGTAGCCAACCCTGGCTTCCTAAGACTGGGGCACACTACCTGCCTATTAAGGTGGGCCCCATAGGAACTGGCAGAGTGAGAAGGGAGAGACTGTGTGCCCCCATCCACCATACATGCCACAACATCCTGGTAACTCACCTTGTTGCTCCCCCGTGCCTTGCTCGAGATGCTAGAGTCACTGCTGGCCACAATCTCCACCTCCTTGGCCAAAATCCCAATGCAGGTGGAGCTATCATCTCCTGAGAGGCAGCTGGGAGGAGGGGTGCACAAGCTTGACTCTCGTTCACCCAAAGTCTCAATGGGCAGGATTGGAATGTGAAGAGGATACAGCCACCATAGGGAAGGTATCCAACCCCAGATGCACGGCTCTAGGTCCACTGGTCCCCAGAGCTGTAGCACCCGTTGCTCACCTCCCTCCTTGGGAATGTTACATCAGGCACCTAAACTTCAGATCCAGGCCAAGCCCTTGAGCTTGTGTCCTCACCCCTCATTCTAGTGCAAACTCTATGTGGTTAAGTGCTCCATCCCAGGACATCTAGTTGGGGAGCAGCAGAGGCTGCTGGCCCTCCCCCGCATCTCATGCTTGCAGCTAACTGACATCCCAAAACCCCCATCACCGCCAGTCATCTCCCAGGCACTCACATGACCTGCTTCTCCTGCAGGTTAATAGATGGCTTGGCTCGGAGCCCAGACTTGTTTGCTGAAGTACCATCCCCTGAGCAGAGGGGATCTGGGACCAGGAGCCCATTGAGGTCACCATTGTAGGTATTAGATGGCCGCTGGTTTTCTGTACTGGGGCCTGGGGACAGAAAGGGCCACTATCATGAGGTTGTTCCACCTGCCTACTGGCCTTTCCTCCTGCAGAGCCTCCCTCCAAAACTATGAAGTACTCTAGGAAGACTCAACTGAGGCATGTCTATAGGAAGACAGGCCCTTTGTTCATCTCTCATTCCATAACACATACGGTGAACCCAATGTATGCCAGGACCAAGGATAAGCATAAGGCTCTTCTACCTGGGGGCAAGGTGCAAGCTATCAAAGATCCTCTGAGGCCAGTTAATACTCAGGTCCAGATCAGTCAGCACAGAGGGACTCTGTGTACTTGAGGAAGGGTATAGGAAGGGTCAGGACAGACTTCAAAGAAGAGTTGCCATCAGAGCCAGTGTAGCTGGAACACACAAACATGGGAAGGATGAAGGGAAAACAAGACTGCAGAGGTCTCAGGTATGAGGCTGTGGTGCTTAAATTCTACCTGTGGCAATGAGAGCCACAAAAGAGTTTTATTTTTTTATTTTATTTATTTTTTATCCTCACCCGAGAACATTTTTGTATTTATCTTCAGATAGAGAGGGAGGGAGAGAAGGAGGAAGAGAGAGAAACATTGATGTGAGAGAGATACATTGACTGGATGTCACCCACACGACCCCAACCAGGGCCAGGGACAAACTAACTGAGGTACGCGCCCTTAGCAGGAACCAAACCCGGGTCTTTCTGGTCCGTGGGCCAATGCTCTAACCACTGAGAAAAACTGCCCAGGGTTTATTTTTATTATTTTGTAATACTTTTTCCTTTATTGATTTTAGAGAGAAAGGAAGGGAGAGGGAGAGAGATAGAAACATCGATGAGAGAGAACATCGACTGGCCGCTTCCTGCATGTCCCCCACTGGGGATTAGGCCTACAACCTGGGCATGTGCCCTGATCAGGAATTGAACTGGTGACCTCTTGCTGCATGGGTTGATGCTCAAACACTGAGCCACACCAGCCAGGATCACAAAAGTTTTAAAAGGGAAGGTGACACAGTCAGCACTGGCTAGAGGGCTGATTGCTCTAAGGCAGCATGAAGGATATTTGAGAATCTGTGTGAGAGAGCCTAAACCAAGGTAGTGGCATGGGTTGGAGAAGAAAAAATATGCTCCTAAAGCATGGAAGGACACTGATAAGATGTAGAAGTAAGAAAGACAGGAGCCTCCCCCATAGAGATATGGCTCAGAAGAAGATACCTTGGGTGGGTATACTCAGGATGAATGTACATGAAGGAACTGAAAAAAGAAGAGAGAAACTATGGGATAGCATGTGGAGTCAGGAAAGACAGCATTCTAGTTGTCTGCATTCACTGAGTCTCAAGTACCTCATGGACTCGGACACCACTCCAAAACTCCTAGGTAGCACAATCTGGATCACGGGTTTCTAGTCACAAAACAGCCTAGAGTCTGACAAGGTCCTCCAGTGAGAGGAGACAAACCAGAGCTCCTTTGCAAACAGGAAAATCAATATCAGTCAATAAACAAGGAGTTCAGAAAAATGTCTCCAGGCCACTTCACTTGTCAGAGCCACCCTAGCTGCTCAGGGGTAAGCTGACCACTCTCCCTCCCAGAAAGGCTACCAGGAGGAAAAACAAACTGCACAAGATTGGCCATGTTAGGCTCTAACAAGCAGTCTAGTCTACACAGCAGCTGATGAGCACGAAAAGCCCAAGCCAAGCTCATGAGCAAAGGAAGCACACACCAGGCCTGGGGCAAAGGGCTCAGTGGTTTCAGGCAGCAGATGCATTTTCTCAGGGAATGGGGGAAGTTAACCCCACCCAGAGTGAGCACCATGCCTGCTTCCAGTAGCAGCCAGTTTGGTTCTCCCAGCAGATTTAAGAACAGGGTCTGAAGAAACACCAGTTCTCAGTTCTGGACACTGCACACCTAAACCATCATTACCAGATGGTCTTTCAACCACTGCAACTTCACAGTTCTCTGAACCAGCCAGGAACTTTGGTACCTCCATACATGCTCCTTCCTCTTTAATGCCTTCCTGACATCCAAACTCCTGTTCATATTATAAGGACTGCTCTAGCCCTGGCCGGTTTGACTCAGCGGTTAGAGCATTGGCCTGTGGTCTAGAGAGACCTGGGTTCAGTTCCTGCTAAGGGCATGTACCTCAGTTGCAGTTTGTCCCTGGCCCTGGTTGGTCGTGCGGGTGGCAGCCACCAGATGTGTCCCTTTCACGTCGATGTCTCTCTCTCTCTTCCTCTCTCTCCCTCCCTCCCACTCTACCTGAACAAAAAATGGAAAAATGTCCTCAGGTGAGGAAAAAAAAAAAAAACTACTCTAAATATTGTCTCCTTTCTCAGACCTGTTCTCTGGCACTCTCCAGTCCCCACCCCACCCACCCTATATCCATCAAAATACCAAAACACTCCTCTCTTTCAATGTCCACAGCATTATAATACAACTTCCTTAAGCTCCTTGAGGGCAGAAATAGCTCTGAGGTATCACTGCAAGCCCAAATAAAGTTTAAACGAATGGAAATAAACTAGGATTTGCAGATGCTTGTAGCATAATCCAATCAGAGACATGTAGTTTATGATTTGTCTTAATTTCAGAAAGGACATGGAACTGGGAGTGGTCACTTTCCTCCAGAAAACAGTTTCAGAAAGCATGCCTGGAGCCTGTATTTTAAAGGTAAAGGCAAGTTGCAGAGGGGGAGCCACAGCTCCTCAGTATAGAGCCTAGGTCTAGCCACAATTCACCATTCTGAACACGGACTAGGCCTCTGAAGTATAGCAAACGGGTTGGGAACCCAGATCAGTACCAGGAACACTAGGGACCTTGGGGCCAGGACACCAGAGGGGGCCTTCGGATTAAGAAAAGGAGCCTCACCTTCAGCCGAGATGCTGAAGGACGAGGCAAAATGGCCTGGCACTGGGATGGAGAGGGATCGCATCGGGGGTCTGCGCCCTTCCGGGAATATGCTCAGAGGTTTACTGCTCTATCATCTGCCCTCACCAGCGGGGAGGATGCAGAACCAATCCAGACGGGCCTACAAACCTTGAGGGAGACCCTGGCCCGAGCCGCCCCTCTGCCCGCACGGCGAGGGCCCACCCTCGCTGTCCCGGCTCACCTCCCGCTGGCCGGTCCAGCTTGAGGATGTCCCGTAGGTGCTGCGTGGCGTCCTCGATGTCGATGCTCGTGCAGGAGGCCATAGGCCCAGTCACTGGCGCCTTGTACGCGCCGCGTTCCCTTAGCTGCCGCCACGCACCAGCCGAACACAGCCGCGCCGAGACCAGATACGGCACTCGGGTCACTACAATCGGTCCACCCGCAGCACACAAACCGCCGCCCGCACCAAGTCCCAGAGACCCTCCAACCCCACCAACCGCCTCCACTTCCGGCCCGCCGAGCCTCGGCTCCCGGAACCTGCACGGTGGGGAGAAGAAAGGTTCCGGGCTGAGAGCGGACGCCTCGCTCTTCTTGGGAGTATGTCTGCCCTGTGCCAGTGGGGTCCAGTGAGTTTCGCCGGGTTGAGGCAGAGCAAATGTCCACGTACTGGAGCGCCCAAATGCCTACTAGCCTCAGGATATCCCGCCCGGTCCATGCCCACTCCCAAGGCATGGACTCATGATGGGCCTAGGACCTGGTGAACTCTGCCACCCATGCTGTTCTCAGACCCCTCCAAGAACAAGCTGAATTGTTAGGGGCCTGGGTTTCCTTTTAGGAAATGGGTCCATGCAACCCAATGCCTGAGGGGACCCACGATGTCAGAAGGTCCAGGAATTGTAAGGTTATGAGAGCCCCACCAGAAACATCAGACTGTTTCCGACTAGACCCCCAGCATATCCTTGCCCAACCTAGTACCCTCAGGCCGGAAGAAAGAAACCACAGTTTACAAACACCTCTTTATTGCAGACATTTCAGGCACAGGTACATGGAAGAAGCCGTATTGCAGATTTTATACAGGGTGGTTTAAGAGGCAGCAAGCACCTACCTCTCTTCCCCAACCCTGAATACATAGTAGCCTAGATATCAATCCCACTGAAATCTTGTAAATATGCTCTTCTCAAACAGCACATGGTCCAGCCCTGTGACCAGTATAGCCAGGCAACCTCTGGGCACCTGAGGAAGTCCTTGACCTCCATCCACAGTAGAGGGAAAGGGGGATACAGAAATTCAGGCACAGCTGTGGTGCTCTCACCAATCCTAAAGCCCCTAAAAGGGCACCGGCCCAAGTCCTGGGTTTGATTTTAGCCTGTGATTGCTACCTTGCCACCAGGTCTCAGGGCTAGATTTTCCACGGGCAAGGCCTCTGTACCCCAAAACTGAGGAGCATAAACTGCCTCAATAGCTAAGACTTCCTGGGATTTGAAGACAGTGAGAAGCTGTGTGGTGAGGATGGCAAAAGGAGGCCTAAAGATGCCTTGCAGAGAGGTCTGAGGGGTGAGAAATCCTAGAGCACAAATCCCTCAAACTGATTGCCCTCTTTCATAGCTCTAAGTCTACACTCCAACCAACTAGGCCTACATCTGTAGGCACTGCAGCCTGGCTGTTCTGGGCACCTGCCTTTGAGCAAGGCTATCAAAAGCAGGTGAACTGCTCTCTTCTTGGCGTGGGGTTTTGGGGGCACCCTGAATGTGATCCTAACCCTTCTGGGGATAAAATAGGCCCCTCTCCCTCAAACTTTTGCTTAGAGAGCCTGAATGTGATGGGTCATTTTTGCCAGGGCCTCTTTATGTTCGTGAAATTCTGTGTCATCTGTCCTGTTACTAGAGTCCTGACCCTACTCAGTGTAGAGGTCACAGGGGGTGTCAGAACTGACTGCAGGGGCTTCAGTGCAAGGGAAGCTTCAGGCCAGATGTGAGTTCTCTGTTTGCAGCTCACTTTTCCAAGACCAGGTGGTCTGGGGAAGGCAACACTATGCCCTACAGGGCTTCTGAAAGAAGCTAGCTGGGAGTGCTGCTTCAGCAGTTTTCTCCTTGCAACAGGTATTGCTGAACTGGGGTAGAAGTGGGAGGGTGAGACATGAGAGAGCCAATGGGGCAGGGTAGTTATTGATGCCCAGCCAACTACTAAACTAATTAAAACAATTTAAACTTTTAAGAAAATTTTTGTGGTTTTATTGTATCATGAGGCATTGAAACATCTGAACAAATCAATATCTGGGTGGTGAGGCAGCTGCTTTCTCCTTCACTTCTTTGGGTTACTAGAGCAACTTGTCAGTAGATTAAAAAACAAAACAAAAACAACCTTTTGCATTACTTAAGTCTTTCCAAGGCATGCGCTGGTACAACACAAACTTCTCCTGTCAGATGTAACTAGCCTAGCATCCAAACATCATGCACAATACCTAGGTAGCAGCAGCAAACTGCGCCCACTCCTACCATGGCCCTGCTCATTTGTGTATGATATTTGGAGCATCTGGAGGAGTGTGAATAGTATCGGGAAGAGGAGGGAGAAGGAAACAGCATGAGTGCCTGGCTGGGAGGAGGTCAGCCAAAGTTGTGCAGGGCAAGCCTGAACATGTCATTGGTGCAAACCCAAGCATCGTTGATGTTCTTTAATAGGAACATCTGGTGGAACCCCATGATGGGGTCTTCATCAGCCTGTAAGGAAAGAAAAATGATTCAGTAAAGGAGAGGCCAGGGAACAGGAAGGGAGTTCAGTGGTAGGGTAACAGGGCAAAGAATGAGGACTTTGGGATTAGGCCCTACTGTCTTGAACTCAAATCCCAGTAGAGCCAAGGAATACTTATGAGTGTGATTGATTTAATGTATGATACACTGCACTGGGCACATAGGGGCCTACAAATGGCAGCTCATACTGCTATATGCACTTAAACCACAGAACAATTCACTAGTTAGCTACAGAAAAAGAGCAGAGAACATACCTGCCTGTAAGCCCATGTCTCTGGGCACAAGTGACCAATTTGAAAGTTTTCAGTGCTCACCTAGTAACTTACAGCATCTAAAAATGAAACACTCAGAGCCCGATCACACCAGTTAATCTAAATAGTTGAAGCGACTGCTAATGCTGACAGTGGCCAAATATACAAGAAAAGGTTCAAAACCGAGTTCACACTGTGATTACAGCTCTATAGAGGAAAAACACAAAGTATTGGCAGGGCATCTTGGGCAGGCAAGAGAAGCTGATAGGAAAGTCCAGGCCAGAAGCCAGGTCCCTCTGAGTCCCTTGCAGAGCCTTGAGGGCCCCTCCCTCAAACCTTGTATTAGACTCAGGGAGCCCTGCCTAGCCTAGGGAGAGGGCCTGTTATTCTGAGTCCCATTGTGACACAGTCCCAGGAGGCTGGGACCTTGTCAGTGGGCAGTCAATCTGTTCTGCTTTGGGAAGAAGGAGAGGCTTTTTGAAAACCGAGAATCTGGCTTGTCTGCTAAAGCGCAACAGGTAGGAGATTCTGGGAGAGTTTTTGGGGCGGTGGCGGGGGGGGGGTGGGGTGGTTGCTGAGAGACCACAAGAAGACTTTGAAGATGACAGGTCTTAAGAAGGGAAAGGGAAAAAATGCAGAGTTTCACAAATCTGCTTTGCTCAGCAGGTGGAAGAGGCCACAGCCAGCTCAGGGAGTGGCAGTATGGACTCCAGTAGAGGACTGCTACTCAGCACCCAGCTGGCCCATCCAGGGTCAAATGCCTAAAGAAGGCCCACCTATACCTCTGGGTAGTATGAAGGCCCTGTGGCCTGACACCACAGCCTCATCCTGCTCCTATACCTCTTGTCCCTTTTCCAAAAAGGCTCTAAACCAGTGCTCTACACTAGAACTTTCTAGAGTAACATAAATATTCTATGTCTGTACTGTCCAACAGGCAGCCACAAGTGAGTGACTACTTGAAATATGGCTAGTGTAACTGAGGAACTGCATATTTCATTTTAATTAATGTAATTTAAAAATTACCACATGTGGCCCTGGCCAGTGAGGCTCAGTTGGTTGGGTGTCATCCCGGGCACCAGAAGGTTGCCATTTCGATTCCTGGCCAGGGCACATGCCTGGGTTGCTGGCGCGATCCCCAGTAGGGAATGTGCAGGAGGCAGCCGATTGATGTTTCACTCACATCAATGTTTCTCTCTCTCCCTCTCTAAAAATCAATAAAAAAATCTTAAAATTAAAAATAAATTACCACATGTGGCTGACTACTATTATATAGCTCTAGATAGTCATTTTGTCTGGCTGTTCCTTGACAAGCAGGTCACATCACAGGGAAGGCAGGGGTGCAGGGCTCTCCTCTGCCTACCCACTTCTCTCTAGCAGCACTATTACCTTAAGCTGGCCCACAACCATGCTGATGATGCAGCTATCTGGCGTGGGCTGATGGTCCTGTGCCGTGATGCTGTGCTGGATTTTCTGGAATGGAAGGCTCTGCAAGAGAAAGGCTGGGTGGTAGGATGCAGCCAGAAAGGAAGGAGATGCCTACAGCCCTACCCTGGCCCTTACTTACAGACAACTTCTCCACAATGGCAGCTTTCCCCTGGAATTGCTGTCCTTCCCATGTAAGGCATGACGCGTCAATCTGAAAACCAGAAAACCTGAAGACAGGGTCTCAGAGCACCATTAGTGTCTCTGAGACCCTGAAAAATCCCTAAAAATAATTTTTCTTGGGGAAATTGAGCCCACACCTCAGTTTCCCTGCTGTAAAGGAACTGAGCATAGCTTCCAAACTTTGCACTATTAACAACTTCTTTAACTATACCCCATCATCCCAGAACTCAAGCTCTGAAAACTAAGAAAATATAAACTTATTGCTTGGATAGTATAGCTCAGTGGATTGAACACTATCCCCTGCACCAAGAGGTTGCTGGTTCGATTCCTGGTCAGGGCACACGCCTAGGTTGCAGGCTCGATCCCCAGTAGGGGTGTACAGGAGGTAGCTGATCGATATTTCTCTCTCTCTCTCCCTTCCTTTCTCTCTCTAAAAAACAAACAAACAACCATAAAAACATATTTTATAGCCCTGGCCGGTTTTGCTAAGTGGTTAGAGCATCGGCCTGTGGACCGAAAAGTCACGAGTTTGATTCTGGTCAAGGGCACACACCTTGGTTGTGGTTCAGTCCCTGGTCCTGGTGGGGGGTAGGGGGGAGGTGGCAACCAGACAATGTGTCTCTCACATTGATGTTTCTCCCCCACCCCAACTCTATCTGAAGATAAATGGGAAAATATCTTCGGGTGAGGATTAAAAAAAAAGAATACAACTGCAGCCTATCCTCACCCCAGCACCCCCAAACCATCTCTTTTTTTAAATCATCACCTGAGGACATTTTTCCATTTTTGTTCAGAGAGAGTGGGAGGGAGAGAAAGGGAGAGAGAGAGAAACATCGACGCGAAAGGGACACATCAAATGGTGGCCTCCCGCACGACCCCAACCAGGACCAGGGACAAATCGCAACTGAGGTACGAGCCCTTGATCGGAATCGAACCCGTAACTTATTGGTCTGCGGGCCAATGCTCTAACCATTGAGCAAAACTAGCCAGGACCCCAAACCGTCTTTCTAAAAAAAAAAAAACCCACTAAAAACATATTTTACATATATAAAAAAAATACATACACACACACATATGTATATAAATTATTAGATAAGTCCATTTCATAGTTTTTATTTAGGAAGTCATATGACCTCTGATATACATGAGCCCCAGCCTGGCCATATGTGGCCAAGGCTCAGCGAAAAGCCATCCTGCTGTGTGATTAATCAGCACCAGTCCCAGAGAAGTCATCGGAAGTAACTTGGAAGCATTCTACGTTCGTCACCAACTATAGAGCCCAGGCTGAGTTCCACTGAAGCCCTTTCCATGAGGGCTCCCATGGGGTCAGGAAGAGATGGAAACTGACAAGGCCTCCCAAGGCAAACCACTAGCTTTGCCTCTACCTCCCAGATCTTCCCCGCCACAGCCTTCAGGGGCAGAACTTAAAAGTGCCTCCACTACTTACCAGCTGTGGCATTAGGCAAATTACTTATTTTTCTGCATCTTAGTTTCCTGATATTCAAAAGGGACCATGTGCTGAGGATTATTTGAAATGACATACATAAGGTGTACTTTAGGACTTTGCTAACTCTCGTCTGAGTCAGGCCTGCTTTAATCGATGTTAAGAAGCAACAAGGCACCTTGACCAAGTAGCTTGGTTGGTTAGAGCTTCATCCCGATATACCAAGGTTGGGAGTTCGATCTTTGGTCAAAGCACATATAAGAATCAACCAATGAGTACATAAATAAATGAAACAACAAATCAACGTGTTTCTCTCTCAAATCAATAAATAAAGATTATTTATATAAATAAATGAATACATACATAAAGAAGCAACAAGGCAGAAGGTGCTAGGATCCGAGAGTCAAATCAGTTCAAGACTTTATTTAAATTCTCGATCTATGATGATGACAATCAAATACTTGTGTAGGATTTGACCCTCCTCTGGTAAGATCCCTTTCTTTTCTCCAAAATTTCTGAATGAACATTGACTTTGCCAGTGTTCAGTCAGGCTCTGAGGCTATGCTGGATGACTCCTATCACTAAGCAGACCTGCTAGGAATGGCCTCGTCAAGCATTATTTCTTTGACTAAGTCTTGGGCAGGGTCAGATACAAGTAGCTCTTGGTATATATGAACACCATTAAAACAGCAACAAATAATGCCTGCACAGAAGGGTTTCTCAAAGGACATACTAGTCTCTCTGAGCTAACCCTATTTGTTTCCCATGAGCACTCAGGGACTTTTGGCCTCTAAAAGGAAGATGGACCTGGGGACTCCAGGAGAACTCAGCTTTGCACTGATGATGCTCATTGCTACTGCCTCCAGAGGGCACCATGAGCCCTAGCCTCCACCTGCTGTCACCAGATCTAGAACACTGGCACTTCCAGAACCATGGATGGCCAGTCTAGAACACCTTACCCAGGGTACCAGAATCCCTACTCTTGTAGAACATGACAGAAGGGAATTTGGAAATCAGGTAGCTGAATCAGACCTCAGGCCCCCTGTCCCATGGACAGCTCAGATAGAAGGATGCACACAAATCCAGTGAGGGCTGCCAGAACTTGTGACCTGAACCAAATGACCCGACACCTGAACTAATCCCCTGGGGTCCCGTTCTGGTCCTAGAGCTGGAGACTTACGTAAATTGCGCCTAGTTGGGTTCTGTCGTTATCAAATAACTGGTAGTAATGTTGAATGAAGCTGGATCCAATCTGTTCCCAAATTGGCTTGTCTCCCATTCTGGAGTGTCACCCAGCCTCGTTGGGACCTGCAAGACCAGCAAGACAGGGAGGGAAGCGTTGGTACTGCAGAACCAGGAGCCAGCCAGCTGCTGTCTCTTCACTGACCCCTACTACTCCCCAGCCTCTTCAAGCAAAAAGTCCTTCGCTGAGGTCTATTCACATAGGGAACATGGAGAGGCACCAGGGAACTGGAAGAAGACCCCTTCCAATATAGACCAGTGTAGGGAGCCCAAAAGTAGACCAGACTCAGCCCCTTCTTTGAGGAACTCTGGCTGATAACACAGAGAGGTGCCTGGGTTGCAGAACACACAGGATGGGTACTGAGGGTGGAGCCAGGACAAAAGAAAGTCAGAGCAGGCCCTTCAATATCCAATGAGGGGATGGATCCTTAAGGAGGAGCTAAGTACTCTCCCCATAGCTTTTTGTTTTTTTAAATCTTCATCGAAGGGTATTTTTCCACTGATTTTTAGAGTGGGAGGAAGGGAGAGAGAGAAAAAGAGAGAAAGAGACAGAAACATCAATTGGTTGCATCCTGCATGACTCTGACTGAGGCTGGGGATCAAACCTGCAACCAAGGTACGTTCCCTTAATCGGGAATCGAACCTGTGATTCTTCAGTCCACGGGCTGATGCTCTAAACCAGCCAGGGCTCCCCATAGCTTTTCATCTAATCCTCTAAACAACCTGCAAGGCAAGCGTTATTGCTATTCTTCCCACCTTGCAGGCCAGCAATTACTGATACCTGTGTGCAAAGTGTCTTCTACTGCAGCCCTCAGGCTCCCTCCTTGTTCTGCTGGGACTCATCCCTCAGTGTCTCAACACTGCACCAGCACACTAGCAGGTGGAGGAAGACCCATTGAAAGTGGGGGGAGCCCTAGCCGGTTTGGCTCAGCGATTAGAGCTTTGGCCTGCGGTACAGAAAGTGGGGGGAGATGGCTCTTCAAAGTTCCACTTGCTACAAAAACAGCAAATGACTCTCTTTATTCTTAAGGGGGCAGTTTACATCTTTGAGGACAGGTAACACCTTGCCCTTTCTGTGGCACTTCTTCACTGATGGGGGTAACCCCTACTTCAAAGATAGGGACAACTTCAGGGGATCACAAAGTAATAGATGAGGGATGTGGGGAGGGGAAATGGAGGCTACGAGGGGGAAACATTCAATTTCTTCCATTCCCTCATCCCTCACTCCTCCATTGGGAGGGGCTGTCCCTCTCTAATTTCTGAAGGGAAGGGGAAGCCCCTGCCCAGCTATAAACACCACAGCCCAAGGGTGTTAGATGAGAGAACTACTCTGGTTTTGTTAGGCCCCTCCCAGGTAAGGACGTCCACATCTCACTGCAGGATCCTATGACAGCAGACCCATGTGTTCCATAGTTGTCTGACTTTAGAAAAGCCCAGCCCCTCTCTCCTGATAACAGGACTCTGAACCAAAGCAGTGAGAAGGTGGGTTCAATCCTGGCAGAAAACCATTAACAGTGATAGGAGGTGATGCAAGTCACTACTTTTCTTAGGGCCTTAGCCGCCGCCGCTGCCGCCGCCTCCTCCTCCTCCTCCTTCTCCTCCGTAAAACTGAAGTGGAACCCAGTGGTTGTGAAGCCTAAGGGAACCTGGTCAAGTGCTCAGCTCAATATGGTAAGTGCTAGTTCAGTCCCTGCGACCTAGCCCAAGGCCAAAGGAGCCAGTGTGGAGGGACAGTAGCTTATCCTCAATCCAGCCTATCTTCTAGCCTGTCACCAACACTCCAGCCAATGAGGGGCCAGGAAGCTGAGCCAGCTTTATTTTAGGTCCCCTAGGAGGTGGTGCCACTAAAAATAGCAGCTCAGTGCTGGGATGACTAAGAAATGTCCAGGAAAGTCTAAAATAAGCAGAGAAGAGAACTTGTACCGGGCCACACCTGTTACACAGGAACACAAGGTATGTCCCAGTTCAAACTCTGCCAAGAAACAAATCAAAGTGTAGGAAAGGCATAGGACCAACAGCCAGGCTCAGCTGTGGGGGGTATGCAGGAGGTGGCCAATCGATGTCTCTCTCTCCCTTTCCCTTCCTCTCTCTCTAAAATCAATATTCTTAAAAATTAAAAAACAAAACAAAACAAAAAAACATGGACAGAAGAGCCTTTTGATCTTATGGGGCAAGGCAGGACAGAGGGAGTTCACCTGAAGAACAGGACAGTTCAGGGTCTCCCAGAAAGTGTAAGAAGAAACCTTCAAAACTATGTGTATTGAAGTGTTTGCTTTAAAAATGCCAGGCAGGCCCTGACCGGTTTGGCTCAGCAGTTAGAGCGTCGGCCTGCGGTCCAGAGAGACCCGGGTTCAGTTCCCGCTAAAGGTGCGTACCTCGGTTGCAGTTTGTCCCCGGCCCTGGTTGGTCGTGCGGGTGGCAGCCACTCGATGTGTCCCTTTCACATCGATGTTTCTCTCTCTCTCTCCCTCTTTCTCTCTTCCACTCTATCTGAACAAAAAATGGAAAAATGTTCTCAGGTGAGGATTAAAAAAAAAAAAAAAAAAAGTGCCAAGCAGGATTCCTAAAGCCAATACCAATGTCATTCCAGGTCTGCTTGACCTTGATTTGTTTATTTCCATGTAATGATCACAATAGCCATGTGGTCAGAGTCCACTGTCAACCCGCTGAACAGGTGGGAAAACAGGTTCAGCGATGTGTGGTCTTGCTCCAAGTTTATCCAGTACTTCAGTGCTGACACTGGGTCCTTTGGTCGAGGCCACTGCTTTCTTTCTGTTACCTTTGCATATCTGAGCTCTAAATCTCAAAGCTGGCCATGTCCCTCCCTTATAGCACCACCCTCACCTCTGAGTGAAAGGACAAACCCTCAAGCTCCACAGGTGGGCATCCACACCTGTCCCTGCCTCTCCAGGCATTCTTTCCTACTGCAATCCAACTCCACACACAAATACACCAGAACTCACCAGGTTCTTCCCCACCATGTTGTTTTCCCTCCCCTCATCTGACTGGTCAGTAAGTCCCTGATCTTCCTTCAAGTCATTGTTCAGATCCCCAAGTATTTAGGGACAGACTCCAACTCCATGGGCAAACCTGTATCAACACACTCAGGGCCCGCTCCTCCACTTAAACAGTGTAGCTCTGAGCTGTGAGGGTTCCAGTGTGGTTCTTGCTACACCCCGAATCTCCTGGCACAAAGCATGGCCCAGCAAACTACAGGACTTAAACTTTCTGATTCTAAATCTCCCACAAAGCTTTTAACTCACGGATGGGAGGCGGCATTCCTAAGTCCAGAAAAAGAGGCAGGGTGCAGAGCCCCCCAGCTCCATCCCCATGCAACACAGGGGAGGGGTCTGGATCAGGCTGGCAGGATGTTCTCCAGAATGGTAAGCAAGCCCTAACCTTGTTTCTAATACAGTTACTGTAGAAAGAACAACATGGAAACAAAATGCCAAGGCTTAGAGGCAGCCTCACATCAGATTGGAGACTGACCTTCATGATGGCTTCTCCAACAGATCTTTCAAGAGGGCCACTGACCACACCATCTCCTGCTTCACCCAATAGTCCGAAGGCTGACTGAGGCCAGGCTCCTCAAGGAGCAGAAATGACCTTGATAACCTCTTGCTCACTGAGCATCAGCCTTCACTGATCCTTAAGTCTCTGTGGGTGCAAAGACTCTCTAAGAATGCCTCAAAAACTGTGGCCCTCTCCCAATAAATTTACACAGTGGCCTTGTAAATAATTTCAGGTTATTTATACTCCCTGAGGTTCAGTCACAGATGCCAGGTAAAAACCACTGGCCCAGGCAGTCCCTTTAAGCAACAAAAAAAATTTTGTTTCTATCTTCAAATTCTGGGTCAGTGTTTCCAGGGACAAAACTTGAAACAGTAGTGTCCAGCTGAAAACATCTCATTTTCACTCATGGGTATTAGGTACTGAAGTGTGCTAAGGGCTTCACATGAATTAATCCCCAATAGTCTGAGTCAAACACCCATGTTAGAGATGAGCAAAATGAGGCTCAGGGAGATGAGCTAACTTTAACTTACTCAAGGTCACTAACCTAATAGATGGTACAACTGGATGGAACCAGTGGACTCCAGAGCCAGGACTCTCAGCAACAATTAGTCTGAAAATAGAAATGAACAGCACACAGGGCTGAAGCCATGATCTCTGACCTTGGCTTTCTCAGACAGGGGCAAGACAGTGGTCAGGGCTGGAATCTATAGAGAGGTGATATTTGAGCTGACACATAGGTGACAATCTAGACACATGAAGATTTAAGAAGAAGAAGAGTGATCCAGGGAGAAGGATTAACAGTTGCAAAGCCCTGGGGTAAGAAAAGGCTTAGCCTGTTCCAGAAACAAGGAAATACCCAGTGGCTGTAAAGAAAGGGTGCGGGTGCCCAGCCGGTGAGGCTCAGAGGTCGAGTGCGGACCCATGCACCAAGAGGTCGCTGGTTCAATTCCCGGTCAGGGTACATGCCCAGGTGGTGGGCCGGATCCCCAGTGGGGGGCATGCAGGAGGCGCCAATCGATGCTTCTCTCTCTCTCTTCCTCTCCCTTTCTCTGTCTCTAAAACTCAATAAAGAACAAAAAGAAAAGCAAGGATGTGGGGGGAGTTGGTAGCAGGAAGACAGAATAAGTGGTCCAGACTTCATCAGTGGAGAATGGGAAGGGAAGTCATTGAAAGGCCATAGGACAGGATACATAGCACCCCTGGTACTCATTTCACCATCCTGTATTATTTTCTTAGAACTTGTCACTGCATGATATTGTCACACTAACATACAGGATGGGGCAAAAGTAGACTTACAGTTGTTTGTATGGGAAATATTAATTAATAAATAATAATACAAGAAAAGAATAGCCCAACTGGCACGGCTCAGTTGGTTGAGTATCGTCCCAGTACACCAGGAAGTCACCAGTTCAATTCCCCAGGGCACATGCCTGAGTTGTGGGCTCGATACCCAGTAGGGGGCATGCAGGAGGCACCAATTGATATTTCTCTCTCTCTCTCCCTTCCTCTCTCTGAAATAAAAAAATATATATAATATAACAATAAATAAACTCCAGCCCTGGCCAGTTTGGCTCAGAGTTAGAGTGTCTGCCCGCGGACCAGAGTCCTGGGTTTGGTTCCTGCTAAGGGCATGTGCCTTGATTGCAGTTCGTCCCCGGCCCTGGTTGGGGTTGTGTGGGTGGCAACCAATTGATGTCTCTCTCTCACATCAATGTTTCTCTCACTCTCTTCCTCCCGCTCTCCCTCCCGCTCTATCTGAAAATAAATGCAAAAAGAAAAAAAATGTCCTTGGGCTAGGATGAAAAAAAAAAGAACAACTCTGTTTCACATACTCACAACCCTAAACCTACTTTTGTCCCACCCTGTATTTGTTTATGGTCTGTGTCCCCAACTAGGGCATCCCTGTTCCCATGGTGCCTGGCTTGGCCCTCAATAACTATTTGAGTAAGTCCATGAATGCATAGGAGGTGTAGCTGAGGCAAGCCCTTCTTCTTTGGAGGAGAAATAATTCTGGGCAAACCCTGCTCAATTTAAGTGGCCAAGTGACCCACTTCTCCTCCACCTATGTCTTCTGTCCAAGTTGTTGGGAAACAAACCTTTATCGTCCACCTAGCTATCTGTCTGTCTGAAGCATGTGGCAAGTGGGGCTTGGCCCCAAATCCCTCTTCTCACTCCCAAGTTTCTGGTCAGTCACCTGAGGGACAGCTGTGGCTAAACAGCAGGCATACAACCCCATGCTCAAAGGCCTGGCCTCTAGTCTGATCCTCTTCCTTTCCTTTATGGTGTCTCCTCATCAGTAATTGTGGGAATGTTAGGGGTAATCAACTGAGGGTATAAAGCAGGACTCAGCAGTAAAGAATCATTGGGAACATAGGTGAATACTAGGTCAAAAGCTAAGAAGCAGCCTCAACCTAGAGTCGGCAACTGCCTCATCACTACTCCCCTATCTAAAGTCTAGAGAGAAATTAGCCAAGGTCCAATGTCCAAATGGTTGGCTAGGACAGAACCCTTTTTGGGGCAGATCCCTAAAGTCTAGGTGCCCCCGGCACCCTAATGGCCTTTTCCTCCTTTCTGCGTAGAGGGAGGGCTCCTTCGGGCTGCCCTGGCTGATCCAGAAGCTGAATTCTAAGACCTGCATTCTGGTCTCTGCTCAGTACTTACTGAGTCCCTGAATAGCCTCTCATTTCCCAGGCAGCTCAGATATCTCTGGGGCCTCTGTGCTAGCCAGATCCCATTTATGAACTTGCTGGTTAGATACAAATGGACTTGGCTGCCCCAGTGTGGCCTGAAGCCCCTAAGTGACCACTCCCATCATCTGCCACCACCATGCCTGGCAGATACCACCGTGACACTCTGACTGAGGTGAGCAGGGTAATAAAGGAAGGGACATGGATTCCCCAGGGTGGTGGAGGTAATGCCTTCTGTTAGCCAAACAGTTGTGTCTGTTTCATTGAGCCTCACTAGCCTGTAGAGCTGGTATGGTCATCATCGCTCTGTAGATGAAGAAACCAAGAGGTTAAGAAAAAATTCAAGGCTATACAAGGCCACTGGATAGCCAGCATTAAAATGTACACAAACTTGGCTTGGACTGGAACAGCTGAGAGCCAACATCAACAGCAAAAAGCATATAGATGGCAAAATGAGGTGGTGAGGAATGGAGTCCAGGCCTTTTCTTCTCCTCTGAAATCAGCAAGCTCCATGCCCCTCAGGACAGAAAGCCCCTGAGTACATGCTTAGCTGCTCAAAGCAAGTTTACACCATAGGGACAAGTAAGAACTTGCATTCTCCTGAGCCCGAAACTACCTATGCAAGTGGAACCAATGTCTCTACGCAGACACATCCTTCTAGGGGGCAGCAGTTTCTGCTCTGGTGAAACCCAGTGGCTCTGATAGCCTATCTGGGGCTTTAAGGAACAAATATTACAGAATTTCCCCAGTTTACTGAGGCAAACAGCCCCCTGGAAACATTCCTCTCCTGAAGGGGGTTATCCTTCTTCAGGTAGCCCCCTCTCCAGATTGGAGTTTAGGGAGTTGGCACAGAGCAGGTATCAGCAACAAATAAGGAGTAAGGCCCAGGGCAGCCACAGGAAGCTCTCCCTCAGCCAGTGATGGGAGCCCTGGGGCCAATGAGCAGAGTTACCCCTAGCCCTCTTGTGTCCCTCTTCCCTGGCCACTAAGATACTTCCCTAGTCACAGCCAGACCTGAACAAAGGATTCTTTCCAGGAAGACATATCCAGCTGACAGGGTGAGAAGAGGAAAGGTGTCACATAGACCTGGTAGTCAGGGTGCTGACCAGAATGTCACACAGGCCAGAAATTCCTGCGACATATGGTCAAAGCAAGAGAATCACAGAATCTCAATGCTGGGGAAGGGATAGCCAACTCAAATTCAATTAGAAACACACAAACATCCTCAAATGGCCCACCAGAAAATATTAACTTAAGAAAAATAAAAGCCCATAAAGAGGTTCAGCTCAACCCCAGCCCATAGAAATTCTGCCCAATTTTCATTTCAATGTTCATCCTGTGGAAAACATTTTGGCTCTACCCCTCTCTCCAAAAGGACTATTCTCTTTCATCCTAGGGAGGGTACCTCTGTGTCTCACTCTGGGAAGATGTCCTGATAGGTAACACTCAAGAAGCACTGGGCACTTTAATAAAAGTGACGCGAGAGGGTCTCAAAGGAGCAGAAAGCACAAAACCAGACTCCAGGCAGGAAATAATAGAAAGGCCACAGACCACAAAATGCTGGTGAAACTCCCAGGCACTGAAGAATACCCAGCAGAGATCTCTGAGGGATGGAGGAAAAGCAGGCTATAGAAGACAGCAGCTGGATTCAACTGCCATAGCAATTTAAATTAGTGACAGCCTTACGCAACCGGTGTGGCTCAGTGGCTGAGAATTGACCCATGCACCAAGAGGTTGCCAGTTCGATTCCTGGTCAGGGCACATGCCCAGGTTATGGGCCAGGTCCCTGGTGGGGGCATGCAGGAGGCGGCCAATCAAAGTTCTCTCTCATTGATGTTTCTCTCTCTCCCTCTCCCTTCCTCTCTCTCTAAAATCAATAAAGAAAAAATATATATTTTTATTTAATTAATTTATTTTTGTTACAGATGTTTCTCCTTTTCCCCCCACTGATTCCCCCCTTCCAGCCCTCCCCGCCTTGTCCCAAGCTTTGTTGTCCATGTCCATTGTTCATGCACACATGCACGTAAGTTCTGTGGTTTATCCCCACCCCCACCCCTCTTCTGGGGATTGTCAGTCTATACCCCACTTCCACATCTCTGTGACTACCCCATTCCTCAGACTGTTATGTTCATTATATTCCACAACTAAGTGAGATCATATGATACTTGTCTTTCTCTGTTTGGCTTGTTTCGCTTAGGATGATACTTTCCAGGTCCCTCCATGTCATCTCGAAGGATAAGAGATCTTTCTTTCTTACAGCTGCATAGTACTCCATTGTGTATATGTACCACAGCTTTTTTTTTTTTAATCCTCACCCAAGGACATTTTTCCTTTTTTTTTGTTCAGATAGAGTGGGAGGGAGAGAGGGGAAGAGGGAGAGAGAGAGAAACATCGACGTGAAAGGTGCACATCGAGTGGCTGCCACCCGCACGACCAACCAGGGCTGGGGACAAACTACAACCGAGGTACGTGCCCTTAGCGGGAACCGAACCCAGGTCTCTCTGGACTGCAGGCCGATGC